GGAACCACCACCTCCGTCTCACGCACCACCGATATATTCTTTGTCGAATGCGGTTCTTGCGACATTTGAAGTTGACCAATTATGTATCGGACATGGTTTTAATGAAATCGGGCGCCGCTAAGAGCAACAAATCAATTTGATAAAGACAAACGAGAGCAGTTGCTGATCAAGGCCGAATAAAACAAAGAAAACTATCGAATCGATTTTAGCCGAATTCCACAACNGGAACCACCACCTCCGTCTCACGCACCACCGATATATTCTTTGTCGAATGCGGTTCTTGCGACATTTGAAGTTGACCAATTATGTATCGGACATGGTTTTAATGAAATCGGGCGCCGCTAAGAGCAACAAATCAATTTGATAAAGACAAACGAGAGCAGTTGCTGATCAAGGCCGAATAAAACAAAGAAAACTATCGAATCGATTTTAGCCGAATTCCACAACATTTTCTACCGATAGTAATATTCATTGGAACGTTATCACGAGTGACGGGAAAAACGATGGGATTTGCCATTCCATGTGTTCTTTTTTTCTCCATTTTATTGGTACATTGAAATAACGAAGCTTCGACAAGAGATTAAAATCAAATGCGATACGCGTGTATATAGTTAAGGTTAAGCTTCGTGTGTGGCAATTGATCTTATCTCCGGTAGTAGCGTGAAGAATGGGAAAGTAGCGTGTGTTGGTGTGAGGCACCATCTTACATAAGATATACATACTATATGAAGCATAGCCTGAAAGACGTGTTTTTCCTTATCGAATCAAACAAATGAAATTTTACGATACCGTATGCTATCCCATCCCATCGTAGGAGAATCAATGTTAAACTTGTTTTACCTATACACGTGCACTTAGGCAATTATTACGAGACGTCGATGAAGATACACGCCTACGATGTTCCAGTGTTTGTATTTTTAGGATATATTTACAATCCGGAATAATTGTAGGTATCCATTCTTGTTTGTAAAGGTTAAAGTGTGTTTATATCCGGTCGGAACGGAAATGTTTCCTCCGATTCTGCATGTACGAAAATTTCATGGAACATTGCTTCTTACTTATCTCTTGGTTTTCTTTTCACGTTAAGACAGTCTAGTTTCCGACAGATACGTAGTAATTAATCGGTAGACCGGTATAGACTGTTGTTAAAGTGTGAACGCGTAGACGAGCGCATGCTTGTACAATTTTTTTATAAAGATTTTCATACGATTCGCCCTATGTAAATGTACTATTTCGATGTCGTTTTTGATTCGGTTCCTGCGTGCCGTACTCGATCGCGTGCGTGCGCGCGCGCGCACACACAACACACAAACACCGTGAATCGTAACGATCTCGCTGATGCTGCATTACTTGTACGTTGCAACATTCAATTGTACCTATATCATTTCCTTTTCTCTTTTTTTTAGAGTTCTCCGAAACGCTAGGTACGCGCGGGTGTTTCGTAAGAGACGAAATTTTATCGCTAACTGTTTACGAGGTGAAGGATTACGGTTTTTAACGATGCATTGTCTCGAAATGTGATCGATTTTATAGGAATTTGAATGAATTTGTATCTCGCTATAATAGAAGAGGAAAATAAAACGATCGAAAATTCGTTGATCGAAGCATCATGCGTTATTTGGATTTGAAAGATATTTACATGTAAAAGACGTCCTGCCAAATCTTGGCATATAAATGTTAACGATCGTTTCTCGTTTTGTTTTTTAGCGAGAGTTGCGAAATTTAACCAAGTTTCCCCTAGTAGGTATTTTCTTTTCTCGCGACGTCGAAGCGGTAAGTTTTATTCGTACACGCATGTGCACACGTTGTCCAGACACGGCATTCTTTAAATATTGAACAGGTCGTTCGTACGACACCGGCTTTCGACCGATTCGGTCGTTTTACCGGATTGGCACCGGTAATAACCGAAGGTGCGCGAAACAGGATCGTGTAGACTATGTTTTACTCGAACAGCTGTCGGTGGAGTAATCAATTATAGTGATTGCGGGGCAGCAGAGTTACCACGAAAAGTATGACGCGAGGGAAATCTGTTTGCCCTCTCTCCTTCCCCGTAATCACCAACGCGAACCGAAGTTGGAGTAACGGAGAGTATCGTAGCAGCGATAGATCGTCGCGCGACGATGCGCAGGTCAGCTTTTGGCGCAGGTCAGCGGTGTCCTCCTACCAGAGACTCACCGGGAGGATTGGTGTAAAAAGGAGCTTGTGTGTTCTGCAATGTTCGCGAAGCCCCGCACACCATACGTTTCGTGACAGCTTTGGTGGGTAATATACTACAAACAAGTTGTTAGTGCAAAGAAAAATGGTGATCGATGGTGACCAGAGCTCGGGGTGGTAGTGGTGGTAGGAGATTATCGCATTCAAAGTCCATGTTGTATCGTGTAACACTCACGGTACACGATGCAAACATTGCGAGCCAGAAGCGACGATTGTCCTATTTCTTTTGTTTCGTACTAGGTAAATACTAATCCCAACATTTCTTTCGTATTCCGTAATATAATATCCGAACACGGGTGGATTACGATACATGCGTACATACATGATTTCGAATAATTTTTCTGTTTGGTTCTCCTTACGCATAGTCCGCGGAAAAGCTTAGTTTCCAAGATATTCGTGCAAAAGCTATTGCTCTCGTCGCATCGAATTTGCGAAGTCCCTGCTTTTCTACCGTATGTACTTGGATTATTTCTTATTTTGTTCGTTCGTAGTTCCGTGTGTGGTATGTCCCTAGAATTTGTGTCTTCTTTTGGCGCCTTTCGTGGAAGAAAAAAACGATGTCTATACAGCGCCAATCGGGGTAGTAGCGAAACGTGCAAACTGTTAGCCAAATTCGACCGTCGGTAATTTGGTCAACGGTTTGCGCGTTTCGTCACTGCCTCGATTGGCGCTGCGCGGACATTGAACGCAGCTTCGTTTATTCGATTTAATCGATAATTTTTAATATCGATCGTTCGTTATATTTTGGCTGAAGCATTGATTGCTCGATGCAACGAGACGCGCCGAACGTAGGGAAACGGTATGACAGGAACAGAATGATTCCTATCGTTTTAAATAGAGGTACAGAGATCGTAATCGTATCGATCGTCAAGAATGCGATACCGACCGTACGCGACACAATAATTTGTACTTATCGGCGATTGGTACGATTCAAGTGTCGCGCGGGTCGTTTTCGAGGTTCTATATCGCCTATGCGCAACCAGGTAACAATAGGTCGAGTCGGTCCTCCTCGCTGTGCGTGCCCGTGCGTGCCTGTGCGTGCCTGTGGCGCCGGAAAGCTCTGTATCTGATAAGGGGGTGACACGATTGTGTTTGGATTGCGATTGGCCGGCGCCGAATAGGTAGTTTTCCGTGTGTCTTCGATGAACAGTAATTTGTAAGTCGCATTTCAGTTTGAGACGACGCGAGACATCGGTATATAAGCCCCGCTTGGAAAACCGTTGCACAGAAGTGCACAGAATTCGAAGCGTAACAATTACTGTAGGCTGGAATTTGGCGTTGCGCGATATCGTTGCATCGGGTGCCCTGTAAAAGAGAGAGAGAGAGAGAGAGAGAGAGAGAGAGAGAGAGAGAGAGAGAAAGAGAGGCCACCGACCGCATACGACTATTCTCTCATGCGCTGTGCACTATGTAAAATTGGGTGAGTATTGATTTTTTCGTTTAATGCTGGGAATAATATTAATAATTAGTCGAGAAGGTACAACTTATTAACTTCGAATCGATCGTAAACGCTCGGAAACGAATAAACGGAATAAAATTAGTTCGATCGTAGGACCATCGTACAAACTCGTTTCAATGTTATTCGGCAATGGGAATTATCGTGCATAATTACCAATTACGATTTCACATTCGTTCTTTGAAAAGCAATAGAAAAGAAAAACTTCAAGTATTTTATATGTTCGTTCGATCCCCGGTCGGTTGAAATAAAATACGATACCGCTTCTCGCGTCTCGAACAACGAAAGATTTTCGATAAAGTTCGATCGACGTAAATTATATTCGGTGTCCGATTACAGTTTACGACGCGTTACGTTAACGATGAAATATTTTCGTCGCCCGTAAAACTACAAGTGTTTCTCCCGATCCTTGGGCCGGAATAACGATGCCAAGCGATTTATTTCTGTTTCGTTCGATAGGCCTTAGCTACGACCTACGACTACGACTGCTCGCGTTTATCGGAAACCGCAAGCCACGTTTATAGAATCTGGTACAAGCTCGAGAAGGAAAACACACTGCCGAAGATGACCACGAATCTGAAGACAATGGAGTTTCTGAAATTGAGCAGACGCGTCCGGCGACGGCTGAACGCCCGGAACGGTGAGTAATGTCGCAAACGTTGTCAAGGTTCGATCGTGATCACGATGTTATCGAACAACTCGCGATATCCGATTGAAACGTGATTCCGATTAATCGACTTCGCAGACCTTCCGCACGTGACGCCCCGTTTACATTCTGCAATGTTCGCATTAGTGTGCATCGGTAGAACGATGGATGCATAAATATCGAAGAGAAATCCGAGCGAGAAAACGTAACACGGATGGCTACGGTTGCTGTAAAATCGTTCTTCCGATGGAAGAATCGACCTGGCCTGTCGATAGAAAACGCGAATCGGAAGTCGTTGACAAACCGCGAACGATATCGCGACGCGCCGTTCCATCTTCGTAATCGTTTCTAACGATCGACGAGCTGAAGCTAAGCGATCCGATCGATCTCGATCTCCACTCTTCCGAACTGTGAACGTTATTGTAAAGATGAGGAGCGTCGCGATCGAATACGAATAGGGCCACGGATACGGATGCCGATGCCGATCACGACTTCGCAGAGAAACTGCACAAAGAAGCCCTTGCAACGCCCTTACGGCCGCTTCGCTTCGACTCGCAATCGGTTTCTTTCGAACGTCGTTCAGTTATGTTCTCTTCTGGTTAACCGGGCGAACCGAGTCACGATGAATTACGATCGCGGTTCGTCTATGTAGAACGGCGACCGCAACGTTCCAGCAATTATTGGCACCGCCGAGTCAGCCGAGAGATCGCCGAGTAAACGCGGTTCGTTCGTCGTTCGCGCCGACGAGCACGGATGTATGGGTGTCCGTGCGTGCACGCACGCCGGCTTGCACGCACGCCGGCTTGCAACGACGAGCAACGACGAGCAACGACGGACAACGAACGCGCATGGATGAACGCGAGCGAGCATCTTATCTGCTGTACGATTACATGAAATAAAAATAGAAAAAAACGAGGATGAAATGAAAAACGGAGAGAAACGAGCGGAATAATCCGAAGTTCGGGGCGAAGAGGAGATGGGGAGTAGAACAGGAGAAGCTGCGAGAAGGTACCGCACCAGCCGCGGCTGCGGCCGCTCTCGGTCATCGGGTTCCCCTTTGCACCGTGCAGATTAGAAGCTCGTTCGAGACTCGGATTAGAAACACGCTTGGTCTTCGACTCGGCAGTTCCCGCGTTTCCGTCGCGTTCGTCGCGTTTCCGTCGAAGGAATACGATCCGATCCGTCGCGCAGCGAGACCAAGACGTACCCCGTTGCAAGATATCGTAAGTACCCGATCGATTCGGAGAGTACCGTAGATGGAACGGAATCGTCGCGGATGCTCGTACACATTCGTTCCAACTAGGAATCGATAGAGGTTCGACGAGCGTAACGAACGCAAACTCTGTCCCACGACGCCGATCTCGATCGCGATCGCGATCGCGATCGAACAGGATGTCCCGACTTTCTCGATCTTTTCCGACGAATCGTTTCGAACTGTAACGAATTGTTTTTGCAGTGAGCGACCAGCTTCTCGCGGACGGCCAGGAAAAGAGGAAAAGGGTATCGTTGAACGTGGACACGAAGATGCTGAAGATCGGGTTCATCGGAGGCGGCAAGATGGCACAGGCGCTTGCCAAGGGTTTCATTCGTGCCGGTAAAAATAACGATAGAACCTAGTTGCTCTTAATTACCCAATGGAATGGTACTCGGTTTCCCAACGCGTATCTTCGCACCTTGCGACTCGAATTTGTCAAGAAAATTCCCGAAACGCGTTCGGCGAACTTGTGTGTGGAAAGTCGTGGAAAGTTACGGGACGTTGCAACTCGACGGATCCGATTCGCTTCCATCGATTCCGTTCGCGCTCGTTCGTCCGACCTCCGACCTATCTTCTGCCCGACGCTCGATCGCCTGTGGTCGGCGGTGTGTCGGCGGAAAGTTGAGAAAATTCGAGAATTTGCCACGAGATACGAGCCAACCGATTCCCATCGTATCGGATGGCACGCGTATTCGTCGACTCGTCGAAAAGAATGTTGAACGTTGCCGAATCACCACCCCCGGTCGCATATTACGGCAAGGTTATAGCGTATGCATACGCGTACGATACATGTATTTACGATCCGATAAGGGCAACGAACCCGAGACACGCGTAGAAACGTACGGAGAAACTCGAAGATCGAATCGTCCGATTCCGAAGCGTCCGCAAAGGACACGTCCGATCCCTGTTAACGCAAATACGGTGTTTCGCAGGGCTGAGCAGGGGCGACATGATGCTGGCCAGCTGCCTACCGAACGACGCAGCCAGTATAGACGCGTTCAAGGTAAGTCGGTTTCGCGATCGTAGAGAGAATAGAAATTTTCCCTGTCTCCCCACCCTCGCGCGAAAACCCTCCACTCCACCCCGTTATTCGTAAAATGATTCATTTGCGACCGTCGCATTCCTTGGACACGCAAAACAAACGCGATAAAAGGTAATCAGCGAATGGCCGACGGTATCGGCGCGTCGGCCTGGTCGTGCTGTATCTCGAAAAAAAACATCAAAACAACGAATATCATTTTTGTTTGCTCGGTAAACATTAATCTGAAATTGCTCAATCGTTAATAAGCTTGTTGCGGCGTCGCCCGTTCGATCGCGATCGTGACCGTGACCGCGATCGCGATCACGATCAGTTAATTAGAGATATCGTACCGTATGTACGTTTACATATCCGATCGGCGATCGGCGATCGGCGATCGCCGCTCGTAGCGTCGATTCCGAAATCTGTTCTTGCTCGCACCGGGTTCACGAATGCTCGCTCGTGTCGCCAGAAACTCGATCGGATCGAGCGTTTTCGATCGTTATCGCGCCTAGGAAACTTTCCGTTGTATACGCGATACGTTTCCTTATCTTTGCTCAACGACAAGTCTATGAATTGTGACCGACGCGTGACGCGCGACGCGGATATCTGGCTATGCCTTTATCTCGAATCTCGGATCTCGGATCTCGGATCTCGGATCTCGGATCTCGGATCTCGAAAGCCGAACTTTTACGTTTTGCCGATGCAACGAATGCACGTGCAGAGAATAGTCGGCGATGGGGAACCAAATTGTAATTCCAACGTTCTTTCAGGAAATCGGATCGGAGACCGTATTCAAGAACGGACCCGTAGTCGATCACGGGGACCTTTTGATTTTGTCGGTAAAACCGCAAGTGGTACCGATGGTTCTTCCGGATTTGAAAAACTACAACAAACTGTTGCTGTCGATCGCTATGGGCGTTCCAATAGCATCGTTGGAAAAGGTATTTCGCGCAACGATCGATCGGTCGCGACACGATCGAATATCACGTTACGCGTTCCGATGCTTGCAGGCTTTACCCGGAGGAACCCCGGTGATCAGGGTGATGCCCAACACACCGGTCCTCGTTGGTTGCGGAGCTACGGTGTTCGCGCGTGGTAAACACGCGGGCGACAAGGAAGCTGAAATAGCGGAGAAATTGTTTTCCTCCGTGGGTGTCTGCGAAGAAGTGCCCGAGACCTCGATCGATCCGGTCACCGCTCTGGCCGGTTCCGGGCCCGCTTACGTCAGTACAATAATATATCGAACTTTCCGATAGTCGATCGCGGCGGTCTTCGCGCGACCGTCTCTTATCTCCCTTGGCAAACGAATCGGCTCGATGATCGGCACACGGTTGCCCGTTTCTGTTCGTTAGGTATACATGATGATAGAAGCCATGGCCGACGGCGGCGTGAAAATGGGCCTGACGAGGCCGATCGCCTACAAGTTGGCTGCGCAGACCGTTCTCGGTGCCGGCGCTATGGTTCGGGAAACCAACGCTCATCCGGGACAACTGAAAGACGACGTGGCATCTCCTGCTGGTTGGTAATCGAACCTGTCGCGATATATCGCGTATTTCTTTTCGAATTTCTCTCCCGAATTTCTCTCCGAATTCAAATTGCTGTAATTCTCTGTGCGATCAGGATCTACCATAACAGGCGTCCACTATCTCGAGCAACACGGTTTAAGATCGGCTGTGATCGGCGCGGTAGAAGCAGCAACGAAGCGGTGCAGAGAAGTTAGCTCGTTTCTAGAAAATGGCCAAGACTAATTTCTCGACGAATCGAACAGTGAAGTAGAAAATTGGCAACGCACACGCGCACTCGCACGCACGCACGCACGCACACGCAGAGAGAGAGAGAGAGAGAGAGAGAGAGAGAGAGAGAGAGAGAGAGAGAGAGAGAGAGAGAGAGAGAGAGAGAGAGAGAGAGAGAGAGAGAGAGAGAGAGAGAGAGAGAGAGAGAGAGAGAGAGAGAGAGAGAGAGAGAGAGAGAGAGAGAGAGAGAGAGAGAGAGAGAGAGAGAGAGAGAGAGAGAGAGAGAGAGAGAGAGAGAGAGAGAGAGAGAGAGAGAGAGAGAGAGAGAGAGAGAGAGAGAGAGAGAGAGAGATAGGAGCCGGAAACAAGGAGCAAGTTGAAACATATATAGTACTCGCATAGTTCTACACTGGAGATAAGCGATAGCGATTAACTATGTCTAGATTTTAAGAACTCTTTTGTAGATTTTGTAAATAATTTCATTGAATTTATTGTTTATCATTCGTTCGAAGCATCGCGTCGCGATTAAAAATATAGATCTGTAACTGTTTCGACGATATCATATTTTTAGAACGAACGTTACGGTATATAAGAATGTTACATGTAAATATTTTTATACATATTTTGTAGCGACATCTGTATACTTTTGAGCACGCTGTTTCCACGATTTTCAATTTGAAATCGATTATAAAAAAATACAAAAAATATGGAACATACGATCTCGACGCGTGTACATACGTATAGTATTATTGCACGTACATTACGCGTTTTGTCCTGCGATTTCTCTTTATACCCGAAGCGATAATCCTGCGTTTAATTCTTATTAATTAATTTATTTAACGAGCAACGATGCACGTGCACAGTGTTATCCAACAACTTATAAATTCTTCGCGCGATAAAAGATAGCTAGATATAGGAATTGTTTGTCCGAGTATTTATAGATGCTTGTTGTTGACGCATCCTTCTATCGTCTTACGCTTGCCGATGCACCGACAAAGCTACCTCTTAGACGTTAGATCCGTAATAAAAGTTAAGCGATGTAACACAAATATGTGCACAAGTACAATATCGTTTGCAGTTGCCTTCGTAATCTTGATATTTGTAGTAGGATTGCTCGAGCGATAAAGACTGTCCTTGATAATCATCTGCGCGTTATTCATCGAATCCAGTTCCTGTTTCTTTTCTTATCGTTCAATTATTACGATTCTGTTTATTTTCTTTGAAGTTACACAGCAGCCGCTCGCATCGTGCTCCATTACGCTGTATCTTCGTGTACGCTTTGCTCGCATTACTTTTCGTTTACCAACAAATTCGAGATTAACGGTTCAAAATTGAAAGAACATTTTCAAGGTATGCGGACGTTGGGACGATACGCGGATGCCCGTATGTAGGGACGATCGAAAATCTGTTACAGCTGTCACGGATGAATCTTGCAGAGTTAGCACGCGACTCCACTTACGAATCGATGAAACTTATTTATTTTTATTTCTTAGTATCGGTACACGGATAAACTGGTGGCGACGGTTACTTTACAACATGGTGTACCCTAGGTTGTCGTCCGAACGATCAGGGGCGAGAAAAACGCGAAAAACGCGAAAAACGCGAAAAACGCGAAAATCGAGCAGGAAGTTCATGACGTTTTCGATACGCGCGAGCATCTTTTCGAAGTCGGTACATCGATCTTTGTCTTCCATCTTAGAATCGACTCGTGGCGCCTCTCGCGGCGAGTTTTCGAAGCTCCTTTCGGGGTTCGTACAGCGCCAATTAGTCCCGTGGTAAAACGCTGAAACTACTAGCCAAAATTACCGACAGCTGATTTTGGCTAACAGTTTGAGCGTTTTGCCACGGGACTAATTGGCGCTGTACGGACCCCGAAAGGAGCTTCGGGATTTCGCCGCAAGAGGCAGCACTGTCGCCCGCATTCGTAGAACGCAGAGTCGCCGAAAAATATTAATTAAGGCAAAAGTAGGGCATAAAACGATAAACCAAGGGCACCGATTTATAGAGGAGCGTCTGCTGCGTCGACATCGCGTGAAGAAAGCGGATGATAACGTTACAAAATGTGAGTAATTAACATTACAGTGAATCAAACTTCAAAACGCAATTAATGACGTTTCGCACTGTTGCGATCTGTTTTTTAATATGTTATCGATGCAATAGATTCTCCTGAACGTTTCCGTAGCTTTGGTTTATATTTCCGTGCTTGAATATTGTCATAATTAATGTTTTTCGGCGACCATGCGTTCCGCGAATGCGGGCGTCAGTGGCGCCTCTTGCGGCGAGATCTCGAAGCTCCTTTCGGCGTTCGTACAGCGCCAATTGGTCCGGTGGCAAAACGCTCGAACTGTTAGCCAAAATCGGCTGTCGGTAATTTTGGCTAGTAGTTTGAGCGTTTTGCCACCGGACGAATTGGCGCTGTACAAACGCCGAAAGGAGGTTCCAGCTTCTGCCGCAAGAGGCGCCACCGTTTGGCTAGCAGTTTCAGCGTTTTGCCACCGGACCAATCGGCGCTGTACGAACGCCGAAAGGAGCTTCACAGTTTCGCCGCAAGTAGCGCCACTTGTGTCACAGCTGGCGCTAATTTCAAACGTTCAGGGGCAGACGATTCGTATCGAATTCTACATTATATGTTACGGCGAAAGCCGTAAGGAAGTAAAATCGTTAGAATTCATCGACGATTCCGAATATAAATTCTTCCGAGAAAGCAGAGATAGTTCGGGCGTTTATCGTTACGCGGCAACGATCCCGTACACGCCGTACATCTCGCGTTATCTCGTCGACCGCGAATATTACCGAACGTTATCGAACATCGTTCCGTGAGAATTTATGGACGTTGAGACATCGAAGCTGGAGGATCGCGATTTATGGAAGAGCTAATCGGAAAAATATCAAATGAAACGATCGTGCGAAGTTGGGTGACGCATCGTTGAGTTTTATTTTACATTACATAAGAAAGTACGTCGACACCGGCGTACTTCTCCACCTACGTTGAAGAAAAATGTGAAAAATACGCTGTCCGTGGTGCGCGCGCGCGCGTATACATATACATACACATATATAGATACGTATATCATCGACAAACACATTACACGCGATTAACCGTGCTTTCGAGGCCGTCGCGTCGAGTTGACGCGCCTATCGGTGCGCGCAGTCCTCGCGCGATATACATATGTACATATTTCGCGGGTGAACACGTAGATACGTTCTCCGTACTTGCTTTCCTTACGGCGCAACAACGTAGATACCGCGTAGTCGCGGTCTTCCAACAGCCTTCGCGTCGAATACTCGGAACGATACAACTCGAATTAACACGGTCCCAACGATACGAAGACGAATAACGGACAACGCTGAGACCAGGTCGCGGTCGCGACGAGAAGCGAGGACGAGACGGTCGAGACGGTCGAGACGAGACGAGTCGAGTCAACCGAGTAAACGTTGCGGATGGTCAGAGAGAGAGAGAGAGAGAAAGAGAGTACCATCGGCTCTTGCCAACTATCGATGAAAGTTAATGCGTCTACTACAGCCGGATCATCGTCCTGCTTCGAATCCGATCGCGAGACAGCCAATTATCGGAGCTATCTTATGATATACAGCCTAAAGCCTCGGGCCCGAGGATTGAAAAAGTCGTGAAATTTTCGAGAACGACGAAGGACGGAACTGGCGTCTGCCCGGCCGTTGAAAACGATATCGTTACGATGTCGCTAGCTACGTACCTGCTTCGTATACACGCGCATACGTATGTACATGCACGTATCACGGTGGCGTCTACGACGGTGTCGTCGATGCCGACGATCGATCGTTCACCCGGTTTTAAGTTTTAATAGGTTTAGCGAGCTTCCGAACGATACGACCGCGGTCTCTGCAACGTGAACTCTGCTTCTACAACCGTGTCGTTGATCGCGACAGATCGTTCGACTTCTCGACGAGGATCGGTCGAGGAAGACGAACGTGTCGCGATAGAAACGAGAAAACTACGAGTTGGCAGGTTCGTCTTTCGCGAACACGCGTCTAACGTATGATACGTTACGTGTCCGACGTACATAAATTGTGGCGTCGCGCCGCGCCGCGCCGCGTACACAACGTTATTGCTCGCGTCGATAACGAGGTGTTACCCCACGCGCGGCTGCGCCATTTCCTACACATCCTGGGATCGTTTCGTCCGTGTACACGTGTACCTATATTCTTCTAGCTACATATATCGTATGTTCGAGAACGAGTACGTTTCAAATTCGATATCCGAAATTTGAATCGGTCGCGTCGCGCGCGGGTACGGCTCGCTTCGGTTGGTTCGAGTTCCGAGGTTCGGCGAGCTTTCGCGGGTCTCGGGTCGAGAAGCGAGGATGCGAAAGCGGCTAGGAATGGGAAGTCCCGAAGACCGAAAGGCGCGAAGACCTCGAAGACGTCGCCGCGCGCAACATCTTCGACGCTCGTTCGACCGCGACTCGACCGTTTCAGAAATAGTCGAGAGTCGGCGATCCGGAAATGTCGCACGTTATGCTAGATAATAGGCGCGGATAGGTATGTTCGGACATCGACGAACGATGCGTATAGTCGACGAGAAAGCCGCGCGCGGCGGAAGCCGGAATCCTTCTCGCCGAGGTTCTCGCGTCGTACGGACCCTCCTGGTCCAACGTCGCAGCCGCGATACGGCTGTTACGAAACTAGCGAAACCGTAGAAATAGAAGATGTATCGCGCCGTTTCGTTCCAGAAGTTTGTCGCGAGACGCGCGGCGAGGCGTCGGTCTCGTTCGCAAAATAGGTCCGAATCGCTCGTTGTACCTACATCTGGCACGAATCCCGCGCTCGACGTATCGTTATAAATATCTTTCGCGTTTTAGCTCGCATTCTCGCTGTACCCGAATCGCTCGAAATCGAAAGCCGTTCCCCGTCTTCGAGCCGGCATCACCGAGACCGAGGATCGATATCGATTCGCGACGCGAAAATTATACGATATAAAATATGTACCCGATCAGAAATGCCGAACGACTGCTTCGAGAAGGCGTCGAAAACGTGTTGTCGCGAACACCGTTTGGGCCGCGTTTCCGACATTCCACCCTTCTCCGCCCTTGTTCGCGCGGGTCGAGAAAGTTCGTTGGCTCTTTTTCGGCCGGTCGCTTTGTTCGCCGTTGCGACTC